AAGCTTGGGATGAAAGCTGGCAGCCTGCAGCRCCGCGGCCATCGGATGGGATTGGCGTCCCCTGGCTCGGGAAGCCAGGAGCTGTTGGGAAAACAGATTTTCCTTTACATCCRCCAGGCTGTTCCATCCTCTGCCATCCACAGCTGAGCCCAGGCTGGCAGAAGCAGCCAGAAGGACTGTGCCAGGGGGCTCGGTGGCTGTGAGGGGCTGGAGTCTCCCCAACCCTGGGTTTGTGGAGGAGGGCACCCAACGAGCGGCTGCAGCCCCTTCCCCAAACCCCGATGGCTCCACACCGGGCACAGGCTTCAGTGGGTACCCGAGTGCCACCCAGCAGGGTCACCTTCCTGATTGCCTTGGGATGAGCAAGCCGTGATTTTGGCATCCTCATCCTCATCTTCATCCTCATCCTCATCCTCATCCTCATCCTCATCCTCATCCTCATCCTCATCCTCATCCTCATCCTCATCCCAGCGCTCCCGCAGTGCCCCGGGCACGCTCCCCGCCGCTCCACCGGCTCGGATGGCATCGCCCCGCCGCATGCCGGGGAGCTGTTTTAACCTAAGCGGAATAAAACCTTACAGTGATTATATTTCCTGCCTCCCGCTCGGGGCGCAAGGGAAATTGTTTGATGCTAATCCCCTTGTTTAATCCAGCAGCATCCTGACATGCGAACAGTCGGGATTAACTCCCGGCGGGAATCATCGCTCGCCACGCGGCCGCGGTGGCGGGGCGGGACAGGGACAGGGACAGGGACACCCCCAGACCCTTCGCAGAGCAGAGGGGATACAGGAACAAAGTGGGGAGAGGGCTTCTGGTTTTCAGGATCGGATTCCTCCACTACAAGCACTCTTTCCAGGCTGGAATTWCCCCCAGCACGGAGAGGGAAGCTCCAGCTGTCCCGGGAAAGGTCAGCKCGGGGTCTGACGTGCTCCTGGGCTCTGGAAGAGATACTGTGCAATAGCCAGATTGTCAGATGTGCCTGGGAAGCAAAATTCAGTCCCCATCCCCCTCGCYCAGGATGTCACCAGACTCCTGCTGCTCATCCTGCTGCTGTCTGAGCCAGAGCCACTAAAGCAGGATGGAACAACCTCCAGGGCAGGGCCCCCAGCCCCAGGCACCTCTTTGATAAAGGAGCCCGGGGGTCCTGCTTCAGCTGCTCTGTGCCTTCCTTGCTGCAGACCTGCCCTGGATTTCAAATTTCAATTTGCCTGACTTTATCTTTCAGCCTCAGTTCTCATTATTCCTCTCTCTGCCGAGTTAAAGAGCCCTTTAATACCCAGCAGTTTTCTCCCCGGGAAGACTCTTGCGTGCTGTAATCAAGTCACATCGCAGGCTCCTTCCCGATAAGTCAAACAGGCTGAGCACTAAGYCCCACTAAACACCAGCCTGGGGAAAGGGCTGACCTGAGGCGCTGCCAGGTGGAGGAGCCGGAGTTTTTCCAGCTGGTGCCTGGAGAGGGAAATCGGCGCTTTTTTGACGCGCCGGTGACAAAAGAAACGAGCTGTGAAAAAGAAATCGCTGCATCGCCCCGACTCTGAGCACACGGGGGGTGCCGGGGCAGGAGGACACGGGTGTTCCTGGGGCTGTGCCCATCCTGGCAGCCCGTGGGGCAGGGGCGAACCCCTTCMCGATGTTTCTGCCAGCAGAACTTGCTGCAGCAGCTGTTTGCTGCGGGGCTAATGGTGCCCGTCTCTGCTTACAGGCAGCGAGTCGCGATGGCCGGAGCGTAAGTGCTTTGGGGAGCTGAGGTAAGCAAAGGTGCTTTGAGCCACAGACTCCTTCCAGCCTGGGGCTTTGGCCACGGGAGGCCAGCTCTGCAGGATGCCAGTCCCGAAGGATGCTGGCTCAGGAGGATGCAGGCTCAGGAGGATGCCAGCCCTGAAGGACACCGAGCAAGGTCGCAGCACCGATCGCTGCAGCTCGGCTGCTCCCTGCCGCCAGGCCCAAGGTGACCGAGCCCCTGGGAAGGAGAAGTCAGATGGGGCTGACGTTARAGCAGGGACACGGAGGGAACAACAAGCAGGGGCTGGGTACAGACCCTTTTTCCAAAGCCACAGCGACTCACGATGCCATCCTGGCCCCGCATCCCCTCAAAAAGGGGCGAGTTTTGTTATGGAAATTTTGGGTTGGGGCACCCAAGTGGACAGGCAGATGCACCAGGGCTTGCACCACCCAGCGCTGTGGGCACCCACTGGGCTAACTCACAACCTGAATTCTCCAAGCACAAATCAGGGCAATTTGAGCCGAGCAAAACGATCTGGGGTCCCTGCGGGAGGGATCTTGCCTGGGGAGCGGGAGGAGAGGCCATCCCAGCCCACAAGGAGCTACAAATAACTCAGATGGCCTCATTACCCAGTTTCTGATGAAYAGGACTTTGGTTTCGTGGTTTCCCCGGGGCCATCTCCACCTGAAAGCGGGCTGTGTGTTCCTGACACCGCGGGACCCTCTGTTACCAGAGTCAGGCAGGAGCAGGGCTCTGGTGCCCTGTACGTGTCCTTGCCCTGCTGCAGCTCCCCGACACCCGCGGAGCCACCGGCGACCTGCCGAGCATCCGCGCTGCTTACCGGCGGGGGTGGTCCCCGGGCCAGCACCGACACGCGTGGCAGGATCCCGCGGGGGAGGGACACGCGTGGAGCAGCCAGGGCGAGCGCTGCAGTGCCCTGTACTGGCCGGAGCATCTGGCTCCCCGAATATCCTCTGGTCCTTCCAGATCATATCTCGGTTCCCCAAACATGCCCCGGTCCGTCTGGAGCATCCCCCGGTTCCCCGAATATCCCCACGTTCTGTGAACGTGCCCCGGTCCCTCAGGATCATCCCCCGGTCCCCCGGAAGTGCCCCGGCTGCCCGAACACCCCCGGTCCCTCCGGAGCATCCCCCGGTTCCCCAACGATGCTCCGGTTCCCCGAGCATCCCCCGGTTCCCCGAACACCCCCGGTCCCTCCAGAGCATCCCCCGGTTCCCCGAGCATCCCCCGGTTCCCCGAACACCCCCCGGTCCCTCCGGAGCATCCCCCGGTTCCCCGAACACCCCCGGTCCCTCCAGAGCATCCCCCGGTTCCCCGAACACCCCCCGGTTCCCCGGAGCATCCCTCGGTATCCCGGGTATCCCCCAGCCCGGCCCGGGGCTCCCTCTAGCGGCCGATGGCGGAACAGCACGGGGGGGGCCGCACGGTCTGGGGCTGCGCTCCCGGTACCGAATCCCTCTCTCCCGGTACCGAATCCCTCTCCCCGGTACCGAATCCCTCACCTCGGTACCGAATCCTTCTCCCCGGTACCGAATCCTTCTCCCCGGTACTGAATCTTTCTCCCCGGTACCGAATCCTTCTCCCCGGTACTGAATACCGCTCCCCGGTACCGAATCCCTCTCTCCCCGGTACCGAATCCCTCACCCCGGTGCCGAATCCCTCTCCCCGGTACCGAATCCCTCTCCCCGGTACCGAATCCCTCTCCCCGGTAACGAATCCCTCACCCCGGTACCGAATCCTTCTCCCCGGTACCGAATCCTTCTCCCCGGTACCGAATCCTTCTCCCCGGTACCGAATCCCTCACCTCGGTACCGAATCCTTCTCCCCGGTACCGAATCC